TAAATATATGTATGTGTGACTATGTATACACACACGCGCGCGCACACACACACACACACACACACACACACACACACGCCTTTTCTGTATTAATTTCTTTAAAATTATTACCTTGTCGACTCTGGTGCTGTTCAGGGTTTTTATGGATAGACGCCATCTAGTGGCAGAGAACAGCAGCTGCTCACAGATCTGTTCAACATACATGGTTACTGTGATTGCTTGGTTATTTCTAAAAAGTATAACCCCAAACCCTGGTGAATGAACACTGCAAGTCCCAAGTAGGAATGCAATTTGGAGGATTAAGATACAAACTTTACATCTCCGATGGCAGAAAATAGGAAAACAAATCCAGGACTTTATCTTTCCGTGTGATGACCCTCCCAGTCCCCTATTCACCCACTAGCTACCTACCAGTCCCCTCCACTGTGCTGGGTCCTGTGTGAGGGGCTGAAGTAAAAGGCCAGTCCCTACCTTGAGGGGCACCAGGAGGTGGTAAACACTGGTGATGCGGTGTGTTTTCTGCAGTCCCTGCGTGCACCCACCGTGCCAAGCACTTTATACCCCAAATCATATGCAATCATCACCACCGCCCTCTGATGTATGGTTTCCCTCCTTTTCTTATGAGGAAAATGGGACTTTGAGACGTCCCTTATCTATGGTATTATATCTAAGGAGCTTCCCAACCAGCTTCAGAGCCAGCGATGCCTAATGCCGAAGGGTGTGGGCTCCTAAAACATCTACGATCTGGGTTTCCACCAAAGCAAGAGCAAAGGTGGAAGATATTTTTGGATTATATGCGGACGAGGCCTTTCTCTTTCTGGTTTTTTGTTGCTGTTGTTTGTTTGTTTGTTGAAGTGAGGTGAGGTGAGGCGGCAGAAGACAGCTGTCACAGTGATAAAATTTGTACGAGTCGCTTAGTTGTGCGTCCGTCTGGGCTGGGAAAGTAAAGGGAAGACGATGCGCGTAGCTGTGGACAAGAGCTTGGGTCTTCAGAAGAGAGATAATCCACGTGTCTTGGAGGATTCTTGCAGAAACATTGGATTGGGAACGTTACAGCAAAGATCAATATAGAAGATTTCTCATTTGTGAAACAGATGTTAAGAAAACAGGAAACCCTTCCCTTCTGAGAGGATTGGTCACTGATCTTGGACCCGTCCATGCATACTGCCTCTCCACATCTTCGCGCACACCTCTCTACAACATGCAATTCTTTTTTTTTTTTTTAAAGATTTTATTTATTTATTTGACAGACAGAGATCACAAGTAGGCAGAGAGGCAGGCAGAGAGAGGAGAAAGCAGGCTCCCTGTGAAGCAGAGAGTCTGATGCGGGGCTCAATCCCAGGACCCTGAGATCATGACCCGAGCCGAAGGCAGAGGCTTTAACCCACTGAGCCACCCAGGCGCCCCTACAACATGCAATTCTTAATGTATTGACTGTGCACTGTTCTTAGAAATTTCCTGTGAAAACATCCCAGCTTAGCTTTGTCGTACGTTTTTGAGGATGAGCTGGTTTCTTGTACTTAAGAATCTGCTGTATTCCCCAGAACAGAAGTGAGCACACAGTAGGCCTCCAGATATCCTTGCAGGATTTTTATTTTTTATTAGAACAGGTTTCTCCTCTGGCTCCTATGGGTAATATGTGATATTTAGCACATCATTTAATAACTCGTACCTTATTCTTTTGAGCTCCACTTGAACAGAAATAGGTGTTTTCCTTTTATCAGAACTTCTGGAATACTCACAACCAGAGCCGGTAGCCCAGCTTCCTGGAGCAAAACAAAACAAAACAAAACAAAACAAAACAAAACAAAAAACCCAAAACCAAAAATAAAACCCATTTTTTTTTTTTTAATTGCACCAGAAGTTAGCAGTTAGCACGTCTCCTTCTTCCTTTTTCTTCTTTTTTTTCTTTTTACTTTGTAAGACCACAGCCTAACAAGTTTCTGTTGGGAGAGCTTGCCGTTTTGAAAGGAAGGTAAAGCAATGCTTGTCCGCTTGGGATGATTTCCCTTCTAAGAAGAAAACGGAATCTCCCGCGGACAAAGCACTAGGTAAGTAAGTATATGTTACATAAGTGAGTAAGCCTGTGCGTGGCCAAAGGGCACAGCTGTTTCCCAAGCAAGCCTCGCACTGTTCATTCCTGTGTCTTTGCCCATTGAGTTGCTTCTTGCTGGTAGTGTTCCCTTCTCTCCTTGTCTGGTAGGTTTGGTATCTTTGATGAACCTTTCCCCCTGTGGCTCAAGCTTTGCCTGCAGGCCGTGGGCCGCCCCGCTTTCTTTTCCCTATGGGCACCACTCATCAGTGGTCCAGAGCACCTGCTCCTTATTCTGAAATTCACAAACCCTGGTGTTCAGCCCTTTGGGTCCTTCTAGTCTATCAGAATGCCCTGAAGGTAGTATGAAATCAATACACAGTTGTTGCAATTTATGAATATTCATTTGGCTTAAAAGAAATACTTTTTAAAAGGGGGCTGATAGTAGAAAAGGGGAAGAGGAAATGAGGGCGGGAATCGAAAACCTTATTAGGTTAGCCATTCGGGTTTATTACAGTGCATACATGTGGTTTGTAGGGAGAAACTTGGTGTAGTGGGTTAAGAAAATAAGACTCCTGTTTTGCTAAATTCAAAGGTAAATAGATACAAGTACTAGCCAAGGTCAGCCAACAAGCTCAGAATCTTGGAACGGTGCAGACAGCTGGTATGTCTTTGAACTCTGTGCCTTTTTACACCATTTGGAGAAAAACAGGTAAGACTGATGTTGGAATTATTTCAGAATGAGCTGATGTGCTGATTCAGAATTGTAAAGATGATGAATCCCTTGAGTTTGTTTCTTTAGGAACCCTTTAGAGCAGGGTGAAATGCATAGGAGCAAACAGACTTGAGGGGCAGAAAATGAACGAGGCGGGAGGAAGCCTGGACCTGAGGGATGGGGGCAGTGACAAGATGAACACATGACCCTTCACTCTAGCTTTTGGGCAAATAGAGTGTCACACTTCATACTTGATGTATCTCTCTTGAACTTCAGCAAAATTTATAGCTTTAATAGAAAAAGATTTTTTTTTTCCTGGTAAGATATCCTAAGGCCAAAATACTGCATTGATAGCTTAACAGGGAGGTAATGTCAGTTTCTGTCCTTCCCCAAAAAGGCATGAAACAAGAGGGCTGATGCGAACACTGGTGAGGAGGGACATAAGCATTAAATCTAAAAGTATTTCTAGAGTATGTTTTCGGGGACGAAGATGCAAACTCATTCCTGAGCTTTGTCCCTTGAAGATCTCACAGTGTGTGGCAACGTGGACACCTTGTGGGGCTGGCCCTGGACCCCACTGCCACTGTCCAGCATCGGCCAGACACGGCAAAGGGGCTCAGTATATGTCTCCTGAAGCCGCAGACACGGTGACAAGGAAGGGCTGCATGTGACCTGGGGCCCTGGGATATCAGAAACTCCCATGGGCTTTCGTAAACGCAGACAGCGGATTACTCTGCGCTGTCCCTTACAAGCACTTATTAAAATGCCACAACTTTGGTAGTGGCCCAAAGGGCCCAAGGTATTTCAGTTTTAGTTCATAAAACACAAGGAGAAAGATGGTAATGTGGGAGAGGAAGAGAATTATGACTGACATCATCGTGGGTCCGGGCAGACCTCCTTATAAGATCGCTCCATACTGGACATTAAGGAACACACCTGGGTATGGGCCACCTCAGGGCCAACCCACTGACAGGCAGTCTGGGCCATCGGAGTCCAATCACAGGGGAACCAGTTCTATTCCTCAAGGCCCTTCCAGAATAGTGGGAAAGACATTGAAAGGAGCAAAGATGTGAAACATGAGAAGTACTGTGATAATGTGTTATGAAGGGAAATATGTCCTTCCTAGGCTCCCGTAGGAAACGTCTGTCTGTCCATGCCTGCTCCTGTGGGATTTTGTTCATACCTCTAGTAGAGCATCTGTGGTGCTCAAGGATCGCCGCCTGAGAGATGGTGAGCTCCTAAGAGCAGGGCCCATGTCCTCTGGGTTCTTAGATGCCCTGTTCTTAGCATCTTCTGGAACATCACAGTGGCTCCATATAGTGTTTGTTGAATGAATAAATGACAGTCTTGTAAGTGCTGATAATGTGGCGACGGTTGGGAAGCCCAGCAAACCTGGAGAGCTCAGAAATTTTGTCATGTCATCGTAACACTCCCTGACCTGTTTTATTACACCCGCTGCTATATATTATACCCCTATTCTACAAAGGGATGTAAAAGATTGTAGGAGGTGTACACACTGTAGATAACAGAGAAATAGAGCATGGTAGGAAGGGCCTCTAATTTTTCTCAGGGTTATATTCTAGGGAGTGTTTGTGATGGGGAAGTACGGACAGCTTTATCTCTCCAGGAAGAAGTCTGCTTCTAGAAGGAGGAACTGAAAGCCCTGAATCCAGTCTCAGGAAACCGTGGGGCCAGCTCTAAGGCCACCGAAAAGCCAGCTCAGGAAATGCTACCGTGGCGCTGAAAGGTAAGTTAGAGATGACCTAAACCTGTCTCCCGCTGCTTACACGTTATGACTCCCACTGTCCTGGTTAGGCAGAGACAATTCTACCGAAGCTTAAAGAAAGCCTTCTCTTAAAAGACTTCCTTGAATTTTTCAGCAACCAATTCAAGTGTCGAACAATTTACATCAGTAGTTTCAGGTAATGCTTCCCCGTGGGTGATCAACGTTACCGAGGAGAGCAGAAAAAAATGGGTGTAGAAAGTTCATTTCCTCCTCCTCCAGATAAAGATCCAAAAGCATTCCTGCTCTAGGCTGAGGATTGCCTGGGGGCGGGGTCGGGGCTCGGGGCTGGGCCTGGGGAACCTGGACTTCTTCCCTCTCCCAGCAACCCCACCGCCGTCCCCCTCCTTACCCTCCCCCGCCACCTGCCGCCAAGCTCCAAGTTTTCATCTCCGCAGCGTTCCTGCGCGGGCACCTACCTGACCTCATCTTAACGTTCTATTTATTTACATGTTTTTCCGTGCCACCTCCTACCCCAGCTCCGGGGGCAGGGGCTCTCTGCCAGGGTCGTCCCGGGGCGCCCTCCCGGGGCCGAACACGTAGGGGCACCGTCTGGGCGGTCCTGGGACGTCCCCCTCCCAGGCCGGCACACAGTGGGGCACCGCCTGGGCGGCCGGGGGCGACCTCCGGGGTCCGCACGCAGCTGGGGAGCGGCCTGGGCAGTCCGGGAGCGCCCTCCCAGGCCGCACGCAGCCGGATCTCGCCCCTCCTGCAGTCCCCTTCTGGACACAGTGAGGCGGCCGACTGGGCTGGCTCCGGCCTCGGCGGCGATTCTGCCGCGTCTTGGGGCAGGTGCCCGCGCAGCTCCCGCGGCCGGCTGTGTCCTCTCGGCCGGCGACACTCGGGCTCCGGCGGCGCGGGGACCCGTGCGCCGGGCGGCGCGTCTCTCCCAGCTCCGGAGGCTGGAGGGCCGGGCAGGGTCGCGACGGCGCGAGGGGGCGGACTCGGGGTTTTAACTTATCGCAGCCGGAGGGGAAACGAGTCCGCGGAGGGAGGCGCCGGCCTTCCCGGGGCGCGGGACCAGGTAGGCGGCACCTCCGTCGAGGTCGTCCGGCCGCGGCCCCGCGCTCCGCAGCCCGGGGAAAGACGTCCGAAGCCCTCCGGGACTCACCGCTCTCGCGCGCCGCGGGGCCTGGGAACCGCGCACCGGCTGAGCCCGGAGCCCCGCGGGGCGGTGGGACGGACGGCGCCCGCGCCCAATGGCGGGGCGGGGCCGAGGGGGCCTGCAGGCGGCGGCCAATGAGAGGCCGCGGAGCGGGCGGGGGGCGGTGCCGCGGGGCGGGCGGGCGGCGGTGTCGGGAGCCGGCGCGGCAGACCGGGAGCCCGGGAGGAGCCGGCGGAGCGGGAGAAGGACGACGACGGAGGAGGAGCGGCGCCGCGCCCCCGCCCGCCCGCCGGAGCACAGGCCGACCGCTCCAGCCGCAGCCGGCGGGTCCGGGCCGCCTCCCGCCGGAGCCCGGCGCCGGCACAGTCCGGGCCGATGGGCAGCCCCGGGCAGCGGCGGGCGGCGAGGCGGCGGCCCCGGTAGGCGCCGCCGCGCGCTCGCGGGCTTAACAGGTCCCGGCGGACTGCGTCTTCGAGGTGCGTGGCGGGCGGGCGGCAGGGGAGCCGGGGGGGTCCGCTCGGGAGCCTGCGGGTGGTGTCCGGGCACGGCCTGGGCGAGGACGGTCCCGGGGTGAAGGGGCCGCCCCGGGGGGCGCCTCGGGGGCTGACGGTGGGGCCGGGGGCAGCGCGGGCGTGCGGGGCGGGGGTCCGGCGGGCAGAGGCGCCCGCGCTGCGGGGCCCGGGGTGGGAGAGGAGCCGCCGCCGCTCGTTCCCTCAAAGTTATCGATCCGCGGAAAGGTTATTGCCGTGCTGGTGACACGAGCACCCCGAGGACCTCCTCTGGGTGCGCAGCAACTGCTCCGTGACTAACCGAAGAGCGAGAGAAAGGCTGCCGGACGCGGCGCAGCGGCGCGCCGGGCGGGGCGACTTGCTGAACTTGCGGCTGGGTGCGGGGGACCCCTGGGAAGGGGTGCGCCCCCAGCGCGCGCCCTCGCCGGCTCCGAGGTCCCTCTTTGTAAGACCCCGAGCCCGGTGGAGCGCCCTTCCAACTCGGCGCGACCTCCCTTCGGGGTCCCGAGGGCTCTGCCGTCTCCCCGGGTTCCGTGCCGCGCTCCATCCTCCGCGCCGGGCCTTGCCGGGTCCCCCTGTGTTATTGAAGGTAGTTTGACCGCGTCCTGGGAGTATCCCCACGAGCATCTACAGATTAATTTTCAACCGTGCCGCAAACCCAAAGAATCAATTTCGGTTCATCATCTACAAGCGAGGAGCCGATGCTTCTGGGAGGAGAAAACAACTCTGCATTACCCCTGTGGGACATATTTGTCATCATTAACCTGCTTCAGTTAAATTAATTCAGCCCAAGATGACTCCAGTGTGAGTATTGGAAAAATCAAGTGCGTTGGTCACGGAAGTGCGGTCACCAAAACATGATTTTGCGTCAAAATAAAACTGTGTATGTTTTGGATTTTGTGTCGGTTAGAGTTGGTTGTCATAAGGATGGCCCCCCCCTTTTTTTTAAACAAAGAATCTTGACGATTCTCATACGTTTCTCTCAGTAAGTTCAAAATAGTCACTAAGATTTTTCTTTTCTTTGCCTCTTTTGTCTGCAGTTTTCATTTCTAAATGTTAACACTAGATGGCTTTCTTATGACAGGCATTTAGGAAACTAGGCTTTTTGAGTTGCCTGTCTGCAATCCCGGCCGCAGTTTTTCCAGTTTTGCAATTAGTAATGGGAGAAAAAAATCTCCAGAACTGTTGCTTTCTTTGAAATATAGGACTTCCTCATAAAACAAACATCTAGATTTCAAGAAGTGTCATATTTTTTCTGGCATTCCTAGAGATGAATTTCAAGAGACAACTTGGTCACCATTATTAGTCACAAATTTAAGGATGTCTGTTTCATGTTTTGATTTATTTGAGGAATACATTTGGGGAATGTATTTAGACAGCATTTTCACTTCCCATGTTTACTGCTTAATTTAGTAGTTCACTGCTTGATGCAGAGATGGATAAAACAATATTACACATGGGAAAGTGCAGTCTTTCTGGAGTCTTGGGTGCAGAGACAGCATGGATCCTTCCTAAGATTCCGGTGATGGAGGTAGTTGGAATCCGTATGCACGATTCATCCCAAGGCTTGTGTTAGGGCATATTTACTTCTTTCTCTCTAGTTGGTACTTGGTTTTTCACTTCTAAGCACCACCCCTTATATGAGAAGCACAGTAGCCTGTAGTTGGCCCTGTTAGCAGAAGCAGGTTCCCAGGTACACGTTTTTAGCCCTTTCTAAAGCAAGATCATGCCAGCCTGTCCAAATCTTGCCTAGGTAGGCAAACTTGTTCATGAGCTGGAGAGATATCTTGGACCTATTTTCTGGCTATCCTTTATTGTGTGTCTTGCCCAGCTTAAAATATGACATGTTGAATTTGTTTGTTCTAAATTAGAGAGTATTCATAAATAGTTGAAGAAAAAAAAAAAAACCTAGCAAACATCTGGGAAGTAGGAAATGAAATCAGAAGCAGTTTTTATCAGTACCCACATGCTACCTATAGATGGGGTGAAATGAACTTGGGTGAGAAGCAGTGTAAGCGTTTGGTCTGGAAAATAAGAGCTAAATTGCAGGTATGGAAGTACATTGGGGTACAGGCAGCAGATTTTCCCCAACTGATTTAAGTGTATATTTTTAAGTGATTTAAGTGTATATTTTTCATCAGATGCTTATGTTTTTAAGTCTTAACCTTTCTTAAAGAGCTTTAATTATGGAATGTGATAGGGGAATTATCAGAGGACCACGATTTGGCTTTTATGATGTTTACTGTAGTTAAAGCTGTGTACTGGGGGTTTATAAATTGTTTCCCCTCACCCCCTTGGGACTGGAATGGTATTTTAAAGGCTTTCTTGATACCTGAGCTTAGTAAACACCTGTCTGTCTGGGGATCTTTTCACCTGAGGCAAAAGGAGTAATGGGTTATTCATTCATTTTGATAATCTATCTATTGAAAGGGAGGAAATATTAGTGAGCTCCTTGAAAGGGCAACTGTCGGGTAATTGGAACTGGTCTGAAAGTGTTTATGTTTGGTCCTCAAAGCTAATTTAAAAGGGGTTGTGTTCACTGCATACTTTGCAAAGAACTATGTGTTTAAATGAATACTGCCCCTATCCAAATCCCAGCCATAATTGGTAAATGCAAGGTGTTTTGCATTTGGTGGTTTGTTGCATTTGCATTTGGTGGTTGGTTTTTTTTTGTTTGGTTGTTTGTTTGTTTGTTTGTTTTTAGATCGAGGAACGCATTGAGTCTTTGCATTTATGATCTCCTTGTCCTGGCGGTTTAGGGTTACAGATCCTTTCAGAGACATGCTGAATTTGAAGAAAATTCAGACTGCTGTTGTTACTGAAAAGCAGAGCAGTTTTTGCTCTGTTTTGAACTTGAATGAAATATGACGTACAGTTCTAAAGAATACAAGGAATCGTGTTCCAGATTTTTCTACCCCTATGAATGTGCCTCATTCCTTTGCAGAGTGATAGAATGGGGAGAGCGTTAGGCGGGAGGGACAGGAACAGCTAGTTTCCTGCCTCTGCGGCCTGGTACAGGAGAGTCTGGATGAAGAATTTCCACGATCCCTTTCAGTACCAACATTTTAGATTTCTTTCACATTTGAAATAAAGGTATAAGAGTGATGCACATGACTGATGGTGATAGTTGACATTTTTAATGATTTTGTCTTTTCTTTCATTGCCTTCTCGTGTGTTTACATATGGGCATTGGTTTGATGAACTTGGTTTACCTCAGCATCAGTGATTCAGAAACTGCTTTTCTGTTCCAATCGCTTTTAGCTGTGACCCCTTCAAAGGAGAGAGAACAATACAATGGGACTTTCAATGGTTCATAACTTCAGAGCTAAATTATTTTGGTCCTTCCTGGACTTTATTCATAAACTGGTTCCCAGGAATGGGAACTGAAGTGAGCCAGAGCTGACCCACGGTAGAGGTTCTCTGTCTTGAGAAATTTCATATGTAGTGTAACCCAATGCCATGATGCTTTCTCTCCCCCGCGTATGGCCAAGCTGGGTGATGAGAAAGAAGGAAAGAGGCAATAACTTGAGTCTAGTTGTTGTAGCATCTCCGTACTACAAAGGTCCTTAAGGCCATCCCTTCCTTGCTGTGTGGTTGCTGTATTTTTTGTTTTCATCCATTTGCAAAATGAAAGAAACAGAAACAGAAGCAGATCTTAGGGATCGTCACATTTGTCAGTAGGTGATGCTACCACACAGACATTGAGAATGAAGGACAACAGTTACTCTGTGTTCAGTGCGTTTCATCAAGATGCATTGAAACATGTTAGACCACCGGAAGCTGTTTGTTACCTGTGGCACTGAAATCTCATTCTACCTGTTGATTTGCTTTCTAACCCCCTTGGTGGCCTGTAGAACAGATCTTTCTAGCGGTGCACTACAGTGAGTCACGGAGCAACACCTGTTGCAGCTGGACCCAGAACTGAAGTCTTCCCACTCCGCTTGACCTGTGCGGAGTAGGAGTGCCCTTCCTTCCGCTTTGCATGTCCTGTCTGCAGTGATGGAGTCCAAATGCACATTCACTTTTTTGGTGGCCACGCCCCTCAGACTGTGAGTTTCCTGTTCGCTAAAACCCCTGAGTCCTTAATCACACACTGCCATTAGCCACATCTTGCTTTCCTGGAAAAGTGTCATTGCAAGACCTAACATGCACTGTGTTTTGTTTTGCTTTGTTTTAGCTGGTTCTACCCCCCCCCCCCCCCGCCCCCAAGGTGCCTCTTGGAATTTGACTCTGTTATTTAGCACCTTTGTCTGCTCTCTGAAAGAAATGTCGTCTGCAGTGTCTCTGGAAGCTTCCAGGTTTACTGGAGTCATTCTTGGTTCTAGTTAGGTTACTTATGCACCTAATTTCTTACCAACTGGCCGGTGTCTCTGCCTTTTCCACACAGGTGTCCTGGGAGAGCATGTCAAACTTCCTTTGCTGCTTCTACTGCCCAAGTTACCCTAAGACAGAAATGAGTTCCACTTTAGTGTGTCCCTAGTAATTGGAACCGCCTCTGCATGGTTGGTGATTACGAAATATTCATTTAATGAGTGACTGACTGAATGACTTAGAAAATAGGGCCCCATGTGACCTCTGACCCCCGGACGTCTTAAGCACTAAAAAGACTGTGGGAAAGAGCAGAATGTGTTGGGCTTTCTGCACTTACTTTGTTGCTAGGTGTTATTTTATTTTGCACAGCTTTCGGGTAGCAGAGAAGAGAACCATGATCCTTTCCCATTTTCCCTGTGTTTTGATTATCAATTAGTAGATACTCTTCCCTTCCTACTTCCCAAATATATTTAGTCCTGAGGGGCTTTTTGAGCTCTGCGCATTGGATTACTCCATATTTTTCACTTTTGCATATTTGCTAAATCTGGAAGAAGCTCCCGGTTAGTGGAGCTGTTGAGGCAATCAGAGTCGTCCAAAGTCGGCTGTTTAGTTGTGCGTTCAGTTCCTCAGAAGTAAAAAAAAAAATCTAGGTAGAGAGCCAATGTTAAAAATTGTTACTGTGGAAAGTCAGAACTCTTGGATAAATTAAAAAAAAAATTATGTATGCCGAGATGAACTATTTGTGTAGACTTAAAAAAGCATTTCTGATGGCAGAGCTTAGGGCGTAGTAGCCTGGGTAGTGAGCCTGGTGATTGCTTTCCCTGTCTTCTCTGGCGCTTGGTGGCACATTTGGCTCCTGGTTCAACAGTGCGCATTTGCGCGGCTCAGGGATCGCTTGGGGATATAGTCTCCTTTGTACTGAAGTTTCTAATAAGTAGTTTTTTAGGAATTACAGTTTTCATTTTCATAAAGGACAAAAGCTGTTGTTGAGTGTTGAATACCTCATTCCAAAGCAGCGATTTCTTTGTAGTAGGTTTTCTACATTTTTTTTTCAATGTGCATACCCCTTCTATACAAAATCACTTTTCTTTAAAAGATTTTATTTATATATTTGACAGAGAGAGATCACAAGTAGGCAGAGAGGCAGGCAGAGAGAGAGGGAGAAGCAGGCTCCCCACCGAGCAGAGAGCCTGATGCGGGGCTCCATCCCAGGACCCTGACATCAAGACCTGAGCC